CGAGGCATCCGCCAGACCTTCACGCTTCCGGACTCCCCGCAGCAAAATGGGATTGCAGAGCGCCGCATTGGCATGGTCATGGACGTCGCTCATACGTCCATGATGCATGCGGCTGCCCCCCATTTTCCGTGGCCGTTTGCGGTCAGGTATGCAGCGCATCAGATCAACCTCCACCCCAGGGTCTCCAGGCCGGAGACCTCCCCAGCGCTGCTGTGGACGGGGAAGGTTGGCGATGCGTCGGCGTTCCGGGTCTGGGGATCTCGGGCGTTTGTCCGCGACTTGTCTGCGGACAAGCTGTCCCCTCGCGCTGCTCCTTGCGTCTTCCTGGGGTTCCCCCCCGACGCCCCTGGGTGGCAGTTCTACCACCCCACCTCTCGCCGTGTTTTGTCCTCCCAGGACGTCACGTTCGACGAGTCGGTACCCTACTACCGCCTCTTTCCCTACCGCACTCCGTCCCACCCCCCGCCCCCGCTCTTCTTGGTACCAGGTCCCCCCCCGGTAGACCCCCTCCCCCCTCAGGGTCCTGCCCCTTCAGGTGTGTCCCAGGTAGACGCGGTCGAGCCTGTCGAGGTCACTGCTGACTCTGGTGTGGCTGCGGGAGCTGAGCCTGGGGGTGTTGAGACTGGAGGTGCTACGCCTGCGGGTGCTGAGCCTGGGGGTGCGGAGTCTGGAGGTGCTGAGCCTGGGGGTGCTGTGCCTGGGGGTGCTGAGCCTCGGGGTGCTGAGCCTGGGGGTGCTGAGACTGGGGTTGCTGAGCCTGAGGGTGCTGTGCCTGGAGGTGCTGAGCCTGGGGGTGCTGTGCCTGGGGGTGCTGAGACTGGGGGTGCTCCGCCTGGAGGTGCTTCGTCTCGCCGAGAGCCACTCTCCCCTCAGGAGCTACGTGAGTGGTTTGCCAGGCGCTGGAGGCGTGCTGCTAGTGCTGGAGGTTCTTCGGCTGCAGAGGGTACTGCTGCCGAGCGTCCCAGCGGTGCTCGTACTGTGGGTGCTGGAGCTGCTGGGTCTGAGGGTTCTCCTGGAGCTGGTGCTGCTGAGGGTGTTGACGCTGAGACTGCCGCTGGAGGTCCGACTGGCGGTGCTCCTGGTGGTGCTGCTGGAGGTTCTGGAGCTACTGGAGGTGCTGCTGGAGCGGGTACTCGTGCTGGGGGTACTGGTGCTGTCCCTGCTGTTTCTGGCATCGCCGCGCGGCCCCGGCCGTACTTCGTTCCGCTCCTGCAGCAGGTTCTTGGTCTTACACCTTCTCCTGGTCCTCCTCCTCCTCCCTTAGAGGGTCCACAGCCTGTCTCGTCACAGTCACAGCTACAGCCTGCCTCACCTTTGCCTGCTCCTTCTCCCTACGCTGGTCCGACTGGAGGTCTTACTGAGCGTCGTGAGCCTGCGTCTCGTCCTACGTCGCCTGTTCGTACTCTGCGCGCTAGTGGTCGCGGTTCGCGTCAGCGTCCTCCTCCTGTCCCCGGCACGCACCAGATGTCTTTGCGTCCGTCTACTGCTCCTCTGCGTGCCCCTTTGCCTTCTCCTCCTGCTTCCTCTCTTCCTGCTCTTGCCGACCCGGAGTCGGACTCTCTTCGTGCTGCCAGTCCTACTGTCACGCGTCTCCTTGCTACTGCTGTCACTGACCCTTCTTTCGAGTCTTCTGCTGCGTCTGCCCTTGTCACTGAGCTCGTCGACTTTGCTGCGCGCTGTCGTCTAGACTACGCTGCTAGTCTTGTCGCTGAGTCTGAGTCTGCCTGTCCTCCGTCCGTCGGGGGTGAGTGTGCCCTTGGCACGGACGTCCTTGAGGACAGGCAGGAGGAGTTCCAGTGTCTGGCCGCCGCTTCACCTCATCTCGCGTCTGTACTGCTAGCCCCTGAGGGAGACCCGGATGCACTAGACATCCCGACTCCGTGCTCTTACGCGGAGGCGATAGAGGGTCCCTACTCCTCTCAGTGGCAGGCAGCTATGGATGCAGAGATGGCTTCCTGGGAGTCCACAGGCACCTACGTCGACGCGGTTCCCCCTCCTGGGGCGAACATCGTCAGTGGCATGTGGATTTTCAGGGTGAAGCGGCCGCCGGGTTCTCCGCCTGTCTTCAAGGCGCGTTACGTGGCTCGTGGCTTCAGTCAGCGGCAGGGGGTTGACTACTTTCAGACCTTCTCCCCCACCCTGAAGATGACCACTCTTCGGGTACTGCTGCACGTTGCTGCTCACCGTGACTACGAGCTGCACTCTCTCGACTTCAGCACAGCTTTCTTGCAGGGCAGCCTGCACGAGGAGATCTGGCTGCGTCGCCCACCTGGCTTCACTGGGTCTTTCCCTCCTGGTACCCAGTGGAGTCTCCGGCGTCCAGTCTACGGTCTCCGCCAGGCGCCACGTGAGTGGCACGACACACTGAGGACTACGCTGGCGGCACTTGGGTTTGCTCCTTCTACTGCCGACCCGTCGCTGTTTCTGCGCACCGACACCTCTCTGCCGCCGTTCTACATCCTCGTGTACATCGACGACTTGGTCTTTGCCACAGCTGACACTGCTGGACTCGCCTACGTGAAGTCCGAGCTGCAGAAGAGACACACATGCACTGACCTGGGTGAACTGCGCAGCTACCTTGGCTTGCAGATCACCCGAGAAAGAGCACGCCGCACCATTACCCTGACTCAGTCACACATGGTGCAGCAGGTCCTTCAGCGCTTCGGCTTCACGTACTCCTCGCCTCAGGCCACTCCTCTGCCTACTCGCCACTCGCTCTCAGCTCTGCCTTCGGATGAGTCCGTAGAGTCGAGTGGCCCGTATCCAGAGCTTGTTGGCTGCCTCATGTACCTGATGACCTGCACACGACCTGACCTTGCATACCCTCTTAGCATTCTTGCACGCTATGTTGCTCCTAGGATACACCGCCAGAGCACATGGCTGCAGCGAAGAGGGTGTTGCGCTACTTGTGCAGTACGTCGGGCATGGGGCTAGTGCTTGGAGGGCGCAGTCCAGTGGTCCTCACTGGGCACGCGGACGCTTCTTGGGCTGACGACCAGGCTACGCAGCGGTCGTCACAGGGTTACACCTTCAGCCTTGGTTCCGGCTCTGTTTTGTGGCGGGCTACCCGCTTGTCTTCTGTTCTCGGCTCCAGTTGTGAGGCTGAGATCTACGCCGGGGCTATGGCTGCACAGGAGTTACGCTGGCTCACCTACCTGTTGACCGACCTTGGAGAGCCGCCTCGTTCTCCTCCAGTCCTGTACGTAGACAACAAGGCCATGCTGGCCTTGTGTCGAGAGCAGCGACTGGAGCACAGGACAAAGCACATTGCTCTCCGCTACTTTCTTGCTCGTGAGCTACAGCAGCGTGGACAGTTGCGACTTGCGTACGTGGCCTCTGAGGCCAACACTGCTGATGTCTTCACCAAGGCACTTGCGCCTTGTGATCATCAGCGTTGCTGCACGCAGTTGGGTCTTGTGCCTGTCTTGCCTCACTTGCTCACTTCTTGACCTTGCTTGTACCTTGACCTATATATATACTCTTGCTCTTGCTTGCTTGACTCTTGTATATCTCTATATATGGTCTTGCATGTGAACTGGCCTTGTGGCCCTTGAACTTGTGCTCGGAATGTGTGGTGACTTTGTGATCCACCCTGAGCTTTGCTTTGTTTTGCTTGACTGGTCTTGTGACCCCTTGTTCTCCCCCACTTTGCCTATGGGGGTGTGTCAGAATATTATAGCTTACTTATTTGTGTAGGCTATTGTGGGGCATCCCATAGGGGGTACAACCCAACTAGAGTTTCCTATTTGTACTCACTTCATTCATAGTCATTTCATTCTCGTTCTAACTTTCTCAGGGTTACCCTAAACAACATCATGCGCTTGACCCTCGGGAAGCGCTTCAGCTATTCCTCGATTCGCGGCGCGGCCGGCGTCGCGCCAAAGGCGATTCTCGAAGCTGCGATGAAGATCGACTGGAACGAGCGCATCGCCGCAAGAACCGGCGAGATGGGGCCTGCTTCAACGGCGGAAGGTCGCTCTTCCAAGTTATCCTCCCTGACAGAAGTGGAGGAAGGAGAGTTGGCGTTTGCGATAATCGAAGAGACTTTTGCTCTTGTCGGAGCTTTCAATCTCGCGGATTACGTGCCTTGGCTGAGCTACTGGGACCCGCAGCGCATATACGTGCGCATGCAGCGACTGACGCCGTTGTTACATGGATTTTTGCGCGCGTGCATCGAGGAGAGACGACAACTGCTGAAAATCCCCAAGAATCAAGTCGGCATCCCTGGGGACGCGCCGCATCCGAGTCGGACAGTAGTAGCTGCGAACGGCACTAACGGCGAATATGTAGCTGCGAATCTATGCGCGTCTGGTAGTAATCATAATGGGGATGGGTCGCGCAAGGAGGGGATGGAGCGGAACGCACCTGAAGCTGCCCTTATTGATGCGTTGTTTGAGGTTGAAGGGGAGGGAGAGGATCAGATGGATAAAGACGAGATGCTGATGCTCGCGTTTGAATTGATGATGGCGGGGACGGATACCACCACGGTAACGCTGGAATGGGCGCTTGCTGAGCTGGCACAGCACCCCGACATGCTGGAAAAGGTCCGCGGTGAGGTGGATGCGGCGTATGCCAAGTCAGCAAGCGCAGCCGCCCAAAATGGGACGACTGCAGCAGGAGGATCGGATTCGAAGGTCTCTCTTCCGGTAGCAGAAATTGAGAAGAATTGAACGAGAATGAAATGAGTATGAACGAAGTGAGTACAAATAGGAAACCCTAATTGGGTTGTACCCCCTATGGGATACCCCACTATAGCCTACACAAATAAGTAAGCTATATGTTCTGACACACCCCCATAGGCAAAGTGGGGGAGAACAAGGGGTCACAAGACCAGTCAAGCAAAGCAAAGCAAAGCTCAGGGTGGATCACAAAGTCACCACGCATTCCGAGCACAAGTTCAAAGGCCAGAAGGCCAGTTCACATGCAAGATCATATATAGAGGTATACAAGAGTCAAGTAAGCAAGAGCAAGGGTATATATATGCGAAGGTACAAGCAAGGTCAAGAGGAGAGCAAGTGAGGCAAGACAGACACAAGACCCAACTGCGTGCAGCAACGCTGATGATCACAAGGCGCAAGTGCCTTGGTGAAGACATCAGCAGTGTTGGCCTCAGAGGCCACGTACGCAAGTCGCAACTGTCCACGCTGCTGTAGCTCACGAGCAAGAAAGTAGCGGAGAGCAATGTGCTTTGTCCTGTGCTCCAGTCGCTGCTCTCGACACAAGGCCAGCATGGCCTTGTTGTCTACGTACAGGACTGGAGGAGAACGAGGCGGCTCTCCAAGGTCGGTCAACAGGTAGGTGAGCCAGCGTAACTCCTGTGCAGCCATAGCCCCGGCGTAGATCTCAGCCTCACAACTGGAGCCGAGAACAGAAGACGAGCGGGTAGCCCGCCACAAAACAGAGCCGGAACCAAGGCTGAAGGTGTAACCCTGTGACGACCGCTGCGTAGCCTGGTTGTCAGCCCAAGAAGCGTCCGCGTGCCCAGTGAGGACCACTGGACTGCGCCCTCCAAGCACTAGCCCCATGCCCGACGTACTGCACAAGTAGCGCAACACCCTCTTCGCTGCAGCCATGTGCTCTGGTCGGTGTCTCCCAGGAGCAACAAAGCGTGCGAGAATGCTAAGAGGGTATGCGAGGTCAGGTCGTGTGCAGGTCATCAGGTACATGAGGCAGCCAACAAGCTCTGCAAACGGGCCACTCGACTCTACGGACTCATCCGAAGGCAGAGCTGAGAGCGAGTGGCGAGTAGGCAGAGGAGTGGCCTGAGGCGAGGAGTACGTGAAGCCAAAGCGCTGAAGGACCTGCTGCACCATGTGTGACTGAGTCAGGGTAATGGTGCGGCGTGCTCTGTCTTGGGTGATCTGCAAGCCAAGGTAGCTGCGCAGTTCACCCAGGTCAGTGCACGTGTGTCTCTTCTGCAGCTCGGACTTCACGTAGGCGAGTCCAGCAGTGTCAGCTGTGGCAAAGACCAAGTCGTCGACGTACACGAGGATGTAGAACGGCGGCAGAGAGGTGTCGGTGCGCAGAAACAGCGACGGGTCGGCAGTAGAAGGAGCAAACCCAAGTGCCGCGAGCGTAGTCCTCAGTGTGTCGTGCCACTCACGTGGCGCCTGACGGAGACCGTAGACTGGACGCCGGAGACTCCACTGGGTACCAGGAGGGAAAGACCCAGTGAAGCCAGGTGGGCGACGCAGCCAGATCTCCTCGTGCAGGCTGCCCTGCAAGAAAGCTGTGCTGAAGTCGAGAGAGTGCAGCTCGTAGTCACGGTGAGCAGCAACGTGCAGCAGAACCCGAAGAGTGGTCATCTTCGGGGTGGGGGAGAAGGTAGGAAAGTAGTCAACCCCCTGCCGCTGACTGAAGCCACGAGCCACGTAACGCGCCTTGAAGACAGGCGGAGAACCCGGCGGCCGCTTCACCCTGAAAATCCACATGCCACTGACGATGTTCGCCCCAGGAGGGGGAACAGCGTCAACGTAGGTGCCTGTGGACTTCCAGGAAGCCATCTCTGCATCCATAGGTGCCTGCCACTGAGAGGAGTAGGGACCCTCTATCGCCTCCGCGTAAGAGCACGGAGTCGGGATGTCTGGTGCATCCGGGTCTCCCTCAGGGGCTAGCAGTACAGACGCGAGACGAGGTGAAGCGGCGGCCAGACACTGGAACTCCTCCTGCCTGTCCTCAAGGACGTCCGTGCCAAGGGCACACTCACCCCCGACGGACGGAGGACAGGCGGACTCAGACTCAGTGACAAGACGAGCAGCGTAGTCTAGACGACAGCGCGCAGCAAAGTCGACAAGCTCAGTGACAAGGGCAGACGCAGCAGACGACTCGAAGGAAGGGTCAGTGACAGCAGTAGCAAGGAGACGCGTGACAGTAGGACTGGCAGCACGAAGAGAGTCCGACTCCGGGTCGGCAAGAGCAGGAAGAGAGGAAGCAGGAGGAGAAGGCAAAGGGGCACGCAGAGGAGCAGTGGACGGACGCAGCGACATCCGGTGCGTGCCAGGGACAGGAGGAGGACGCTGACGCGACCTGCGACCACTAGTGCGCTCAGTACGAACAGGCGACACGGGACGAGACGCAGGCTCACGACGCTCAGTAAGACCTCCAGTCGGACCAGCGTAGGGAGAAGGAGCAGGCAAAGGGGAGGCAGGCTGTAGCTGTGGCTGTGAGCGGACAGGCTGCGGACCCTCTAAGGGAGGAGGAGGAAGTGTAAGACCAAGAACCTGCTGCAGGAGCGGAACGAAGTACGGTCGGGGCCGCGCGGCGATGCCAGAAACAGCAGGAACAGCACCAGCAGCTCCGGCAGGAGCACCCACTCTAGCAGCACCTCCAGCAGCTCCAGAACCTCCAGCAGCAGCACCTGGAGCACTGTCACTCGGACCGCAAACGGCAGGCTCAGCGCCAACACCCTCAGCAGTACCAGCTCCAGGAGAACTCTCAGACCCAGCAGCTCCAGCACCCACAGTACGAGCACCGGCGGGACGCGCGGCAGCAGTACCCTCTGCAGCCGAAGAACCACCAGCACCAGCAGCACGCCTCCAGCGCCTGGCAAACCACTCACGCAGCTCCTGTGGGGAGAGTGGCTCCCGGCGAGACGAAGTACCCCCAGGCACAGCACCCCCAGGCTCAGCACCCCCAGGCTCAGCACCCCCAGTCTCTGCACCCCTAGGCACAGCACCCCCAGGCTCGGCACCTCCAGGCTCAGCACCTCCAGGCACAGCACCCCCAGGCGCAGCACCCCCAGACTCAGCACCCCCAGGCACAGCACCCCCATGCTCGGCACCTCCAGGCTCAGCACCCCCAGGCTCAGCACCCCCAGGCTCAGCACCCCCAGACTCCGCACCCCCAGGCTCAGCTCCCGCAGCAGCACCAGAGTCACCAGTGACCTCGACAGGCTCGACCGCGTCTACCTGGGACACACCTGAAGGGGCAGGACCCTGAGGGGGGAGGGGGACTACCGGGGGGGGACCTGGTACCAAGAAGAGCGGGGGTGGGGGGAGGGACGGACTGCGGTAGGGGAAGAGGCGGTAGTAGGGTACCGACTCGTCGAACGTGACGTCCTGGGAGGACAGAACACGTCGAGAGGTGGGGTGGTAGAACTGCCACCCAGGGGCGTCGGGGGGGAACCCCAGGAAGACGCAGGGAGAAGCACGAGGGGACAGCTTGTCCGCAGACAGGTCGCGAACAAACGCCCGAGATCCCCAGACCCGGAACGCCGACGCATCGCCAACCTTCCCGGTCCACAGCAGGGCTGGGGAGGTCTCCGGTCGAGAGACCCTGGGGTGGAGGTTGATCTGGTGCGCAGCGTACCTGACCGCAAACGGCCACAGAAAATGGGGAGCAGCCGCATGCATCATGGACGTACGAGCGACGTCCATGACCATGCCAATGCGGCGCTCAGCAATCCCATTCTGCTGTGGTGAGTCCGGAAGCGTGAAGGTCTGACGGATGCCTCGCGCACGACAGTAGGCACTCAGGAGGCCAGAGGAGAACTCTCCGCCTCTGTCCGAGTGCAGACGCAAAACAGGGAAGTCAGAGCCAAAGCTCCTCCGAAGCTGGAGACGAGCTGCGCGGATCCAGTCGATCAACACCTCAGTGACCTCACCCTTGCTGCGCAAGGGGAAGACTGTGGTGTAACGCGAGTAGTCGTCAACCACCAGCAGGAAGTAGCGCTCCTGACCCTGTCCACGGACGTGGGCTGGGCCCCACACGTCCATGTGAAGCGTCTGCAACGGGGCCTCTGTCGGAGGAAACTGGGAGGAGTGAGGGGCAGCACGCTGGCGCCCCTCGACACAGGGGACACAGGTAGGGCCAGGGCCCGGAGGAAGGGGAGGGAGAGACCGGGGAAGACCAGACACAAGGACTCGCGAGGCCATGCCTCTGAGCCGAAGCAGAGAGGGGTGGCCAAGGCGGTGGTGCCAGAGGAGGGTCTCGTGAGACAGACGACGACACGAGCAGGGGGCAGACTCAGGACCAGACCTGGACGCTGCAGCAAACACCTGACCAGACGAAGGGACCCTACCAGACTCAGCACCTGGAGGAGAAGCTGTGGTCAGTGTGTACAGGCTCGACCCTGGCCGACGTGTAAACGTAGCCAGGTGGCGACCTGTATCCGCCTCCGTGCAGTGAGTCACCCGCTGACGAGCAGGGGTGAACTGGTGGACACCCGCATCCTGGAGGTCAGCACCACTCACCAAGTTCGTCGAGAACGAGGGGAGGTAGAGACCAGTCAGGGTGCCAGAGGGGGCCGCCGGACACGGGAGGACAGTGGAGAAGCGAGACAAGACAGGCCCCCCAGAGGGGTCAGCCAGGGACACCGCAACCGGCCGACTCAGCGGCGTGAGAGTGGTGCGGACCCTAAAGAAGGAGCGAGACGCTCCAGAGTCAAGGGTGAAGGTGTGAGAGGCCGAAGCCGACACAGTACCTGAGAGGGCAGACTCACCAGCACCTGAGAGCACAGACGCACTGGCACCTAGAGCAGCAGCCTCACTAGTACCTGACGCGGCAGTACCAATGCCCGGGTCGGGCGGGAAACACCGGTAACAGTCATCCTCATCACTACCAGTCACAGCATACATAGCAGCGAGAATAGCATCAAAATCAAGATCATAAATAGATACACCAGCCCTAGACAGCTCTCCCCAGCGGGGGATCTCAGCGGCCTCCGGAAACTGCTGACGCCAGGCGTCGGTCAGGCGGCCAAAGCAGCGGCGGGCTGTGTGGGCGCCTCCACACCTCTCCCCTGCACGGTCACCGGTGCGAAGAACGTAGGGGCAGGGACCAAGCGCACCACCACGCTGACGCTGCAAGTACCACTCACGGAGCTGCTGAGGGGCGGGGACGGTGCGAGAGCGCTGCTGCTGCTGTGGCTGCTGCTGCGGCTGCTGCTGCTGCTGCTGCTGGTGCTGACCACCCCCAGAGCTGCTCCGCTGGGACGAGCCACTCCGACCCCCGCCTCCACCGCCACCCCCACCTCCACCGCCACCCCCGTCTCCACCGCCACCTCCCCCACCAGGACCGTCGCTCCCACCGCTCCCACCGCCTCCTCCGCTACCACCGCCGCCGCCACCTCCGCCTCCACCGCCGCCACCAGTACCTCCACTCCCGCCACCACCCCCACCGCCACCCCCACTCCCCCCGCCACCCCCACCGCCTCCTCCACCGCCCCCTCTAGCTCCACCCGCTCCCTTGCCCCCCTTGCCCTTGCCAGAGCGGCGTCTGCCGCTGGGGGCAGATGCCGCGCCGACCGACTCAAAACCAGTGAGGTCGGCCGCAGCGGCAGAGGCGACAGAGGGCAGCAGGGGGGAAGGACCACACCCCTCAAAGATGGGGGTGCGAGGGTCACCCCGAGAGGCCCCTACAGCGACAATACTCTTCTCAGCCGCTAGCAGGGACTCCTCAAGGAGGTCGACAGTGAGAGTGGTGGGACAGACAGAGAGAAACTGGTCCCTGACGACACGAAGGGACTCAGGGAGACGGGTGACGAGAAAGTAGAGAGTGATGTACATGGGAGGAGGGTTCGTAGCGGGTGTCACTAGCACGGAGGTGGGTAACGAGGTCAGCAACAGTGGGAAAGGAGGCGAGGTCAGGGAAGAGAAACGGTAGCATGAGGCGGCTAAGGGTAGCGGAGGAAGGGGAGGAGTAGCGTGCAACTACAGCGTCGTACAAGGCCTGAGCGGTCTTGCACTGACTAAAGTGGGCACGCTTAGAGGAAGGGAGGTGGCGACGCACAGCAAGACGTGCAGCAGCATCGCGGGTCGCCCACTTGGAGCGAACGGCAGAGTCAGCATCAGCAGGTGGGGCAGGGATAGCGCCAGAGACAAAGTGAAAGAGAGAGACCTCATCTATCGCATCACACAGTAAGTACAGCTGCAGGTCTTCAATCCAGACGGCAAAGTCAATGGCCCTCCCCTCAGCGTCAAAAGTAAGAACATTGGGGGTGGCCATGGCAGCAGCTGAAAGTCTCACCGGGCTGGGAGAGTCGGGTAGGTCAGCAGCAGAGGAACACAGCTCAGGAACAGCGGCTCGGGTTGCTGGGGCGGCGCGGGCGGCTCGGGCGGCTCGGGCGGCTCGGGTTGCTGGTGCGGCGCGGGCGGCTCGGGCGGCTCGGGCGGCTCGGGCGGCTCGGGCGGCTCGGGTTGCTGGGGCGGCGCGGGCGGCTCGGGCGGCTCGGGCTGCTCGGCTGTAGAGGCGGCTCGTGCGGCGCTGGTGTCGCGACGGGCGGCTCGCTGGCGGCTCGCGGGCGGCAGCACAGGCGGCTCAGGGACGGCGGCGCGGGCGGCTCAGGGAGCTCACGGGCGGCTGCGACGGGCGGCTCGCGGGCGTCGGGCGCTAGGGCGTTGGGGCGACGACGGGCGGCGCTCAGGCGTTCGGGCGGGCGGCCGTAAGGGCGAAAGGGCGGTCGGCGCTCGGGCGCTAGGGCGGGCGGCCGGCCGTCAGGGCGCTAGGGCGGGCGGCCGTCAGGGCGCTAGGGCGAGCGGCGCTCGGGCGCTAGGGCGGGCGGCCGTCAGGGCTCTAGGGCGGGCGGCGCTCGGGCGCTAGGGCGGGCGGCGCTCGGGCGCTAGGGCGGGCGGCGCTCAGGCGCTAGGGCGATTGGCGCTCGGGCGCTAGGGCGGGCGGCCGTCAGGGCGCTAGGGCGGGCGGCCGTCAGGGCGCTAGGGCGGGCGGCGTTCGGGCGCTAGAGCGGGCGGCCGTCAGGGCACTAGGGCGGGCGGCCGTAAGAGGAGGGAGCGGCGGGAGCGCGATGGTAGGGGCGACACGCAGGGTCGCTATAAAAAAAAGAACGCGCGCCTCGGGGCGCGCTTCGGTGGGCCCTAGGAACAGTCCCTAGGAGGGGACCTGCTCTGATTCCATGAGAAGAATTGAACGAGAATGAAATGAGTATGAACGAAGTGAGTACAAATAGGAAACCCTAATTGTGTTGTACCCCCTATGGGATACCCCACTATAGCCTACACAAGTAAGTAAGCTATATGTTCTGACAGAAATGCCATATCTGCAGGCCGTTCTAAAAGAAACGCTTAGGCATCACACTACGGCTCCCATCCTCATTCCCCACATGACAAGTGACACCGTAACACTGGGTGGTTACCACATCCCTCCCAACACCATGATCCAGATCAACGCCTGGGCCCTCGCGCACGATCCAACGGTCTGGATCAACCCGCACAAATTTGACCCATCCAGATTCCTTGGCCCGGACGCCCCTGACTTGACCGGGCAGAATTTCAGTCTGCTGACCTTTGGTTCGGGCAGACGCGGTTGCCTGGGGCTAAACTTGGCGATGGACCTTTCTGCCCGCCTGCTGGCGAATATTGTTCGCCGGTTTGACTTTGAGCTGCCCGAAGATGTGCGGGCAGCTGGAGGCGTGGGCTTAACGGAACATTTTGCGCTGACCGTTATGCTGGCGAAGCCGCTAAGGGTGGTGCTGAGGGAAAGAAAGGGAGTGGCAGAGGGGGTTGTGGCTGATGCGGGTGCTTGAGGTGCCACGGGTGCTGTAGTGAGGTGTTGCGCTGGGTACAGTTACCAAGCTCGTGTTTTGCGTGGGCTGGTGTTGTGTGAGAGAAAGGCAGTGGCAGGGGCGTGGTGGTTGTTGCAGGTGCTGTAGGTGTGAGGGGTGCTGTAATGAGGGCGTGTTCCTACGCTCTTATCAGGCAAACCTCTTGTCAGCCTGCCTGGTAAAAGTAGCGAGGGTTTTTGGGTTTAGGGAATTTTCAGGGGGAAAAGTAGCGAGCTTGATAAGAGGTTGCCCTAATAAGGGGCCGTAGGAACACGCCTTGAGGGGTTGCGCTGGTAACAGAGTTACCATGAATGTGTTTTGCTCAGGGTGGTGCTGAGGGAGAGAAAGGCAGCGGCGGAGGGAGGTGGTGGGTGATGCTGGTGCTTGAGGTGCAAGGAGTGCGGTAGTGAGGGGTTGAGGTGGTTACAGAGTTACCAAGCACGTGTTTTGCACTGGCTGGTATTGAGGAAGTGAAAGCCAGTGGCAGGGCGGTGGTGGGGTGGCTGTTGCTGCTGCTTGAGCTTGATTGGGGTGCTGCAGTGAGGGATTGAGCTGGTTACCAAGCTGCAAAGCACATGCCCTTAGCTCACATTGTTCATCTTTTGTCCCCTTAGTGCACTCCTCGCTCGCTTCATCAATTGCACACGTAACCAGGGCCCAAATTTCAAGGGTATTTTACCCTTTTTGCCCTGCTCATAGGCCACTTTTTGGCAGTTACCCTTTTCAAATCAGGGTATGCAGATTTTTACCCTAGTGCAATCAGAATACGCTTAAAAGTACTCTTGTAGCTTTTCCAGTTACACTGACTGTATCAGGGTAGGGGTTCAACTATCCTTTTACCGGAACTTTTCCGTACCGCGGATTCCGCCACAGTCCGCGCCACGACAAAATGCTCCACGGTCCCACTGGACCATTTGTTGGATACACCCACTGGCGCGCCAACGTACATTCAGGGCGGATGGCACCGCACACCTACGATTGGTCCGTTGAGCGACATTGAAGCCAACGCACCCAGTTTCCGTGCGTCACGCAACATCGCGCACTGCCAACGGAGGCAAATTGCGCGCCAGGTGGGGTACGTGCTGTCGTTTCCACCACCTGGCAGTCATTGTGGCCTTGCAGCCATTGGCGTGCAGTTCCCTACCAGCGAGGGAACCTTGCTGCCTGAGGCGCCTAGGGCTTTGTGATTCCCGAGGGGTCTCTCAGGCTCTTGCCATTCTCTCGTTTCCCTCTCGTTTGTTGTTCCGAATGCCTGCCTCTGAGCCTGATCCGCCTAGTAGCACCAGGAACGGTCTCTCCGTTCTCGGTGTGTTACCTCGGCTGGCTGAGAACTATAGCGTCCCTATCTCTCAGCCTGCGCGTGAGCCATCCCCTGAATTTCTTGTCGGCACCGTTTTCCCGTGCGAGCGTTCGGCCTCGCCAAAGTCCCGGGAGCCACACCCGTCTCTCGAGCATGTTCCCGATGGCGGCGAAGGCCCGTCGAAGCCGGCCACTGCAGCCCCGTCCACAATTAGCTCCGCGCCCGCGAAGCGACAGCGTGTGGGCGTGACATACAAGCAGCAGAGGCGGGTAAGCGTGTTTGTTAGATGGGGCGGGTATTAGTGATTGACTTGCGTAAACAGCTTTGCACCAGCTTGTTTCCCATCGCGCTTGTTGCTACTCATCACCCGGCCCTGTATTGTGGACTAATGCCTCCCAATCCTACCCGTATGTATGAGCGTCTGCCAATGATCATCCCCTTCCGCACTACCAGGGTTCGACTACAAGCGTGCCGGCCAGGAGCTCTGGATGTTTACCTCGACCATGTTCTCCCAGCACAACGGCAAGGAGTTTCATCAAGCGTTGGGAAACATGCTGCGCGACGAGGCGTGGCGTGCATCGTCCCCCAACATCGTCCGGATGTGGCAGTCTGTCGCCGTGCTACCACTGAGCACGGTTGAATGTGAGCGCGGAGGCGGGTAAGCGTGTTTGTTAGATGGGGCGGGTATTAGTGATTGACTTGCGTAAACAGCTTTGCACCAGCTTGTTTCCCATCGCGCTTGTTGCTACTCATCACCCGGCCCTGTATTGTGGACTAATGCCTCCCAATCCTACCCGTATGTATGAGCGTCTGCCAATGATCATCCCCTTCCGCACTACCAGGGTTCGACTACAAGCGTGCCGGCCAGGAGCTCTGGATGTTTACCTCGACCATGTTCTCCCAGCACAACGGCGAGGAGTTTCATCAGGCGCTGGGGAACATGCTGCGCGACGAGGCGTGGCGTGCGTCGTCCCCCAACATCGTCCGGATGTGGCAGTCTGTCGCCGTGCTACCACTGAGCACGGTTGAATGTGAGCGCGGCTTCAGCAAGCAGAACCTGATCAAGACGTGGGACCGCGGCAGCCTCGGCGACACAAGCCTTGAGCACTTGATGCGGTGCTCCCTCCTGCAATACGACATTGACTGGTATGAGGTGGTCGCCATATTCCGTGGGGAGAAGCTCAGGCGATCCACCAAAAACTTCTCCGGCATGAAGGCCAGCAGCACTAAGCAGTTTGCAGACGAGGCAGTTGCTAGTGCAGCAGATGTTGATTGACTAGTGTCTTCTGTAGGGCCCTTTATTTAACTTGGTTGGTAGTAAAGCTTGTAGGTGCAGTACAGAACACTTTAGTGATAACTAAGTAATTGTTGTAGTAGTACATACTTATGCTTAGGAAGGAAACAGTGTACGACATATATTATCCTGCCAAAATCAGTGTACCAAAACTTTTAGGCTGCTACAATCAGTGTACGAGAAACTTTACCCTACCAGTCAGGGTACGGAGGGGATGCCACCCTGATTTGAAAGAGTGAGCTAAAACCTATTTTGGGCCCTGCACGTAACACACGCGAGGCGGCCTACCTTGGAGGAGCATCTTGCCTCGTACTCTGATTTTCCTCCTAGGTTCACCCAGAAGCCCCCCCCATCCCTCCCCATAGAAAGAGAATTCTGAGCAAAGAGATCACTATCAGCACCCAATCCCCACTTCTTCGCACACTCCGCGGTGCCTTTCCAATGCCTAAACAGAGCAAGAGGCATCTTACGATTGCGGCTGCTTTCTCTCCTTCAAAACAAGCCTTAGCGGCTTCGCCAGTCCCGTGGTAAGGCTGAAAACCTCTCCCAAGTCAACTCCACCAGCGGCCAGCACATCGTCTGGCAGCTTCAGATCAAACCGCAGAAGAATGCTTGCTAGCATACGTGCAGCAAGATCAAGCCCCAAATTCATGCCTGCACACACACGCCTGCCCGAACCAAAGGGCAGCACTCCATAATTCTGACCGGTCACATCAGGGGCAGATGGGCCGAAAAATCTGCTGGGGTCAAACTCATGGGGGTTGATCCAGGCCGTTGGATCGTGAGCGATACCCCAGGCGTTGATCTGAATCATTGTGTTCGCAGGGATGGTGTATCCGCCTATAGCAACCCTGGCAGTCGTCATGTGAGGGATGAGGAGCGGCGTTGGTGGGTGGTGCCTCAGAGTTTCCTTAATGACTGCTTGAAGATAAGGCATCTCTTGTACTGGGAGAGACGCTGGGAGAGACGCTGGGAGAGACGCTGGGAGAGACGCTGGAAGATGATGCTTTTCAACCCCCTGCTCCCCAATGATTTTCCCTCCTGCTTCCCCTGCCGCTGCTGCTTCTGTGACTGCTCCAGCTGCTGCTGACTTGGCATATGCGGCATCCACCTCAGCTTGTAGCCGTTCCAGCATGGCAGGGTGAATTGCCAGCTCAGCAAGGGCCCACTCAACAGTCTTGGCAGTGGTGTCCGTGCCAGCATTGATCAAATCCAGACAAAGCAGCATAATATCCTCTCTCGTTACCCTCTCCTTCCCCATTACCCTATCCTCCCCTTGACCCTCCAACTCCAGCAATGAATCTACTAGCACTCGTTCCGCCCCTGTCTCATCCGCCCCCAGTTTCACACCTCCTTCCTCTCCTTTTCCACCTTCCGCCCCTGACTCACCTTTCCCCAGCTTATTTTCTCCCAACTTCACCTCACCTCTCCCCTCTCCCTCTCCTCCCTCTCCTTCCGTTCCTCCCTCCCCTTCGAGGATTCCATCTACCAACGGCCTCTCCCTCACTACCTTCTTTCTCCCTCCCTCCTCCTCTTTCCCCCTTCTCCTTTTCAGCATCTGGCTTCTCTCCTCAATGCACGCCAGCACAAACCCTTCTGTACACGGTTTTAACCGCTTCCCGCGCGCGTAGATCCGCTGGGGATCCACAGGACTGAGCCACGGAATGAAATCGGCCAGGTTGAACGTCCCCATCACCTTAAACGTCTCGTCGACTATCGCAATCACCTTCTCGCCTTCCATTTCGTCCGCCGCGGATTGCGCGGCAGGCTCGCCGGATTTCGCGCCGCTGGTTTTCATCGCCGCGATTCGTCCCTGCCAGTCGATTCTCATTGCCGCTTCGAGCATTTCTCCTGGAGCGGCGGCGGCAGCGCGACGGACGGTGCGGTAGGTGTAACTCTTTCCAAAGGCCAGTCGCATAACGTTGTTAAGCGTCGCGCGGTTCAAATACCCTCGCACTTCCACGCCTCTCGCATCCCCGTTATTAGCCACTTCCGCTATCGCGTCAAGCATGCCGCGAATCTCTCGCTCGCGAACGGGTAGGCTCTTCTGTAAGGCGCTCGACGAAAAGAGATGCAGCGTCGCCAGCCGTCGCTGCATTCGCCAATGGTCGTTGGACGGCGAAAAAACAATGTCGTTCCCGCCGCTCGTTAGGAATGCGACAAAGGGTAAGAGCGGGCGGGAGGAGCAGAACTTATCCTGAATCTTAAGCACCTCGCGAGCCATCTCCGGGGAGGATATAATCACAGACGGAATCGACCCGAGCCACACAGTCATGATCGGACCGAACCTGTCCGCGAGCTTCGCGAGGCCGCGGTACGGCAGGAAGCCCAGGTCCGGGAGGTTGCCGAGGATGGGCCATGGGGACGGGCCTGGAGGTAAGGAGGAGCGACGGCGAAGGAAGGCGAGCCATGTTGCCGAGATGTATAACGCGACGGCCGCAATTATCGCCGCGAAAAGCGACGGCATTTGCAGATAATCACTGATAGCTACCCATGCTTCCGGCGCGACAACGGATTGATTGTCCATAAAACCTGCTGCCGACTTTCTTCGCAGTCTGCCCCAATGCCTCACTAGCCGCTGTGCTTTCGAAGCTCGACTGTGTTCGCTGGTTGAGCTGCGTTAGCTAATTTGTCAGCCATGAATTGACCAAACCGAGTGTGTCGTATTTGAGCAGAAGCGGACAGAGCAGGAGCTTGAACATGGAAGGATGGACAGTGTCACTGCTGGTTATTTTGATTAAAGAGAAAGCATACAGTACACAGAATGAGTATTGAAGTAACGAATCTTTCTGTATCGGGGCGAGCGGGGCGTTATCCAGGTGGTGTTGCGTGGATAACGCTTGAATTTGAGTCAGGAATTTGGTGGCCCTCGTCGGCTCCGACCGCGGAGCTCTCCGCGTTCCAGGGTCTGCGAATCACGATGACGTCACGTTTCTGAACCTGGCCTTGTAAACTGCCTGCGGTCTGGCCTGGTCGCCATGAGCATCTGTTGGTTGGGTTGCGTTGGACTTGGGGTTACGAAGCTATCGATGTGGTACACCCATTTTCGCAAAATTCGCGTGTGGATCGAATGGACGGAAATGACCACCTCGAATCCACCAACCGTCAACTCCCAATCGGAGGGCGGAGATTGACCCTCAAACGGGGGTGCCTGACTGCCTGCTGACTGCCTATCGTCGCCAGACCGATGTGTCGCCGCGTCAGTGCTCCCCCACCACATCCTGCTCGGCCACTCAACGAGGGTTTCGGTGGATAACCTTCTCCCGGCTGACGTGTTTTGCTCTTTCAGACAGACTCACACAATTCAGGCCCTCAGCTCCAGGAAATCCTAGCAGAGCCCAAGAAAATGGCTTCCAGCACGGTAGAGAACCTAAGTGACCAGGTTAGGACGGATGGACGAGAAGATAGGAGCACGTTGCGGAAATTGGAGTCCGCAAGTCAAGACACCGCTTGTTTGACGAATCGTTCCACTGATGACGCAGGGAATTGCACGCTTCGCCTTGCATCAATTGGAGATGGAGATAGTAAGGATTATGGTCAGCAAAAATCCGAGGGTACGGTTAGGTCAAGCGTGAACCAGACGCACCAGTCGGAGAAACGGCAGCGTGAAGAGTCTTACGAGCGCCATGAACCAGACAACCAGGAGCCAGCTGGCGGAGTTCACGATAATCATGGAACTGGGGTAACAAATCCGGTTTCTGATGAAGACCCTGGTGTTGTCGATGAGAAAAGGCAGAAGCGGATGTTAAGCAACCGTGAATCGGCGAGACGATCGAGATTGAGAAAGCAACACCATCTTGACGAGATGAAGCAGCAGGTGGGTTCAGATGCGTCTTTCCTACCGTGCTTCCGCTTCCTTGAGCCACAATTTTACTAAATTGTGTCAATTTGATGCGGGGATGTTTGCAGGTTGCACAATTACGAGCGGAGAACACGGACATGGTGACAAAGTACAATTTGGCTTCACGACACTACGCTCAAATCACGGACGAGAATCGCGTCCTTAGATCGCACGCCATGGAGCTCAGCCGTCGGTTACAGCGACTACACCACGCGGCAACTGCTCAGGGTCACACTATGGGCCATGATTTCATGGGTATGAACCACATGGATCCATCACTGCAGCTTGGTATGGGAGGAATACCTTCCGGCGGTGGCATGCCACATGGTCAGCATCCTGCTATGGCCCACATGCCTCAAATGCAGCACCACGTGGCAGGAGCTCACCCTTCAGCTTTTCATTACCAGTTTCCAGGCTCCATGACTCCCGAGCTTACCAGATGAAGGTGCCTTAAAAGAGTCTTGTGTGCTTCGGCCTTCTGTGTTAATACTAACAGATTACGCGCATTCATTTTTTTTCAGTTGCGTGAGTGGCTTGGCTTGGATTTCAGTTGTGACTGTGTGAGAAAGCGGTGTTGTATATTTTGTTGTGAGGGCTGCTTTTGATCAGTCTTGAATACGGTGCCTACGGTATCAGATTACATAATTGTTTGGTAGTCGCTTATGTGTGCTGCTGCCGCTCGTATGCTGTATTGGTTTGGTTGTACACAAGTCGGACCATGACAGTTACACTTGGCACACACGTGACAAGTGGTTGTATACGTTATATCCATGACTCCCATTGATAGATGGCATGCAGGGTACCATACCGTCATCGCCCGGATATAAGACAGTGTTGAATAGTAGACAGGGGTTGTCTACTATGCGGGTGTCTCTTGTTACGAAAAGTGATATTTGATATTACTAAGCACTCCTCGCCGCAGCAAAAGGAACACGCAATACCGGGAATCAGGGCTTAGGTTTGGATTTTGCCTACTCACGATTAGCAGTGAAGACATTTTCATGTCAGAACATTATAGCTTACTTATTTGTGTAGGCTATAGTGGGGTATCCCATAGGGGGTACAACCCAGCTAGGGTTTCCTATTTGTACTCACTTCGTTCATAGTTCACTCATTCTCTCGTTCACTTCTTCACATGGAATCAGAGCAGGTTCCCCTGTGGGAACTGTGCTTCGGGCCCACCACCTAGAACTTTTTTTTCTGCCCTGGCGCCCGCCCTAGTGCCCGCCCTAGCGCCCGCCCTAGCGCCCGCCCTTTCGAGCCGCCCGTTCGCGCCGCCCGTTAGCGCAGCCCGTTAGCGCCGCCCGTGCGGCTGCCCGTTCGCGCCGCCCTTTGCGCAGCCCGTAGCGCCGCCCGTGCGGCCGCCCGTTAGCGCCGCCCGTGCGGCCGCCCGTAGCGCCCCCCCTGAGCCGCCGCCCGTCGCGCCGCCCGTGAGCCGCCGCCCGTCGCCACCCTTTAGCGCCGCCCGTGAGCGCCGCCCGTGACGCAACCGCCCGTGAACCGCCGCCCGTGACGCCGCCGCCCGTGACGCCGCCGCCCGTGACGCCGCAGCCCGTCCCGTCGGCCCCCCCCCCCCCCCCCCCCCCCCCCCGTGACGCCGCCGCCCGTCCCGCCGCCCGCCCGTCACGCCGCCCGCCCGTGAGCCGGCGCTGCCCCCAAACCGCCCACCCGTGGGCCTTCAGCCCGCCCGTGAGCTGCCGACGCCGCCCGTGAGCAGCCGACGCCGCCGCCGCCACCCGTGAGCCGCCGACGCCGCCCGTGAGCCGCCGACCCCGCTGCCGCTGCCGTCGCCCGTGAGCCGCCGACGCCGCCCGTGAGCCGCCGACGCCGCCGCCGCCGCCCGTGAGCCGCCGTCGCCCGTGAGCCGCCGACGCCGCCGCCGCCGCCCGTGAGCCGCCGACGCCGCCGCCGCCGCCCGTGAGCCGCCGTCGCCCGTGAGCCGCCGACGCCGCCGCCGCCGCCCGTGAGCCGCCGACGCCGCCGCCGCCGCCCGTGAGCCGCAGTCGCCCGTGAGCCGCCGACGCCGCCGCCGCCGCCCGTGAGCCGCCCTGGCCGCCCGCCCAGCCGCCCGTGAGCTCCCCGCGCGCCGTCCCAGCCGCCCGTGAGCCGCCACCGAGCTGCCCCAGCCGCCCGTGCCGCCGCCCGAGCCGCCCGAGCCGCCCGGGCCGCCCGCGCCGCCCTAGCCGCCCGAGCCGCCCTCGCCGCCCGAGCCGCCCGCGCCGCCCGAGCCGCCCGAGCTGCCCGAGCCGCCAGAGGAGCTGCTCTCCTGCTCCTGTCGGGCCACTGCTGCCCCTGGGCTGTGTACCTGCGCCGCTGACCTACCCGACTCTTCCTGCCCGGTGAGACTGTCAGCTGCTGTCATGGCCACCCCCAATGTCCTAGCTTTTGACGCTGAGGGTAGGGCCATTGACTTTGCAGTCTGGATTGAGGACCTGCAGCTGTACTTACTGTGTGATGCGGTCGATGAGGTCTCTCTCTTTGACTTTGTCTCTGGCGCTGTCCCTGCCCCTCCTCCTGATGCTGATTCCGCCGTTCGCTCCAAGTGGGCGACCCGCGATGCTGCTGCACGTCTTGCTGTGCGTCGCCACCTCCCTTCCTCCGAGCGTGCCCACTTTAGTCAGTGCAAGACCGCTCAGGCCTTGTACGACGCTGTAGTTGCACGCTACTCCTCCCCTTCCTCCGCTACGCTGAGCCGCCTCATGCTACCTTTTCTTCCCTGACCTCGCTGCCTTTCCCACTGTCGCTGACCTCATTACCCACCTCCGCGCTAGTGACGCTCGCTACCGCGCTGCCCTTCCTGCTGAGTTCCGCGCCGCCAACCCTCCTCCCATGTACATCACTCTCTACTTTCTTGTCACCCGTCTCCCTGAGTCCCTCCGTGTCGTTAGGGACCAGTTTCTCTCTGTCTGTCCCACCACCCTCACTGTCGACCTCCTTGAGGAGTCCCTGCTAGCGGCTGAGAAGAGCATAGTCGCTGTAGGGGCCTCTCGGGGTGACCCTCGCACCCCCATCTTTGAGGGGTGTTCTCCTTCCCCCCTGCTGCCCTCTGTCGCCTCTGCCGCTGCGGCCGACCTCGC